TCTGTCCGCGATTTATGTGATTTTGATTATTCTTATGAAGACTATTGAAGTAAAGGCTATTGTTGAAGAGTCCCATGGTTTCGGAGAGCAAAATACGATACATTTTTTGCATTTTTTTTCTATTTTTGCTTTTTGCTTTTTGCTTTTCTGATGATCGATAAGCCTATATATTCTTTAAAAAAATGCCGTATTTGTGCTTTTTTTCAGCCTCTTCATTTATAACATATCAAAACATCTAATCTAAGCAAATGTCACTCGATGTATGACAACAAGTTTGATATGAAGTATTCCTTGCCTGGAGAGTTCGTTTTTTCCTGAATTCCCGTCGGCTCCTCCTAAAACTAAGCACGTTGCAAAGACTCAATATGACATTTGATTGGTTATGATAATATTGTTACATAATTTCTAAGCATTATCTTGCACGTAAGACATCAATGAGCTATCATTTTGTTAATAATAATGAGACGGTATTGCTGTGTCATTTATGTGTAATCTGTGGCGATGAAAACAATTTATTAAAAAATCATATAAGGATATCATGGTTTGCCTTTATAATTAAAGCRAACTTACTTTTTCGTGATAAACGTGACTAAATGAAGCACCAGCAAAATAGATACAACTAGACTAGGAACTTGGCACAAATGGTCGATAAGATGGCAAAGTATGGCATATTTKAAAAGATATTAGCGGAAAAATGAGGGAAAACAATAAATGAATGAATAAATTTATATGAAAAAAAAATCAGTGCATAAAATAAAAATCAATCCATAAAATAAACAAATAAAATAAAAGTAGTTTGAATTTTTTTAGCAGAAATGTAGCTTCAAAAGATTTTGTAGTACGATGGTTGATAGGCTATAATAGCTATTATATAGCCATTATAAACTCCCTAGCTTTAAATGTTTTGGCGTACTCTCGACAGATTTTGAAAAAGTTATAGATTTATATACTTAAAAAAAGCAAACGACCTAAAAGGTACAGTCTTTAAGGGACAAGATTGGTCAGCATGAACAAAATAAGTAGGCTTATATTATTTGCCAAAAAGATGAAGGAACAGATATTAAATATAAGAGTAGACGTAGAATACATTTTTTTTGTGCTTGATATTTGTATATACAGCTCTATTTCAAAAAACCTTGTCGGGGAGAACGGCAAACGGCGACTGTCAAAAGGAGATTGCACGACCGAAAGGGACTATGGTTACACTGTTTTGATAAACCMAATTTCACCTATTGGATTCACATTACATAGTAATGGAGATCAGACTAAATGGAGCCAATGTTCACTACAGACTATCTTACAGTGTAAATCAGTTGTTATCTCATTTCACCAAGCGAAACCCATGGCTACTTTCGGTCGTGCAATCGCCGTTCGACAATCGAYATTCGCTTTTTTATCCGACAACCTTTTATTGAAATAGCTATATATATAGAACCCTGAATAATGTTGACACGTAGAAAACGAGATTTAACGAAGTTTAAAGTCTTATTACCAATCTCATCACTGACAATTACTTCAAAAGAAAGTTTCATCAAATAAAAAGGACTGTTTAAATAAATCTATTTACATAAGAACGTTCCGTGTTCTTTTATYCTCTTTATTATCATCGGGTTAAACAAAATTCTAATAACTGAGATTAAAACCTCGGCCTCGGTTGAACACTAAAAGGAGACGCTGAACTATATCGAAAGCTCTTGATATATCATAACTCCATAAAGAAGACGACGAAGCATGATTCTTCTTCCATGACTGCACCATATTTTTTTATAAACCAACTTTGTATTAGATTTGTTTGCATARGTCTCGTTCTAGCTTCCMAAAACAAACAATRCATGACATGATGTTCTTTCTTTTTTYCCCTCRCTAGGCAACWAGTWCTACATTGAAGCTGGTCATTTYATATTGGTYGGCAGCGATGAAGGTCTTGTMTTTTGCATTGGCTCTTGCTATTTTTGTKGTTTCACAGGGARAAGACAACTTTATCGAAGATGTGTCARATGATATGACCTCATCTGTGCTRGGGGATGTCTTTGATGACTATCAGTTGGTAGAGGATGAAGGTTCTGGAGTTGAACCAACASCAACACCCCACAGACCTAATCGGGTATCGCTTTAGAATTTAGAACAGTTTTAAATCATTTAGATGTKCATGACATATACATTCGAATTCATGGATTTCCTCACCCTTGTTTGTTTAATTGTTTGTTTTTTTACACTCAATTTTTTCCACTTCTTTTTCCCCGTKTGAGGTTATTGTACATTATTATATGTGTTTTGTTCTGTATTATCGTATATATTTTTTGCTTTGTTGCGTGCTATTTTTGCGCTTTAATTTTGCTTGATTCATAAGTCATTTCTATATTTCTGTTCATTATGCACATTTGGGACAAGATTTCCTAGATTCAACTTAAAGCGCATCAAAAAGGATKTCACATAAATAAGAGTACTGGAAAATGAAATGTAGCCTGCGTGTGACTCTAGGGGAGAAAGGTGGAGAGGACTAGAATTARTTTCCAACGGTTGGCTTTCACGCACTGCAATCTCCATTTTTGATCTTGACGTTTTGTCAATTCCTGTTCGTAATGTAGACAACTKAATGTTTACTTAATTCTGCTTTATTTTCTTTATAGAGATAGTGGACGCTCTTAATCCTTGAGACTTCGTAAAAGAGAGCAAAAATTATGCTAATTTTTAGATCAAAAAGTAGTATAATGAGTACTATTGTATCCTGGATGAGTAAATACACTCTTGCAAGGTTTTTTTTGTGATTGTTTTTTTGTGTGCACAACTTATAATAAATCGAAACGATAAATGAAACCAAAAAAAAAAAAATCGGAGAGACAAAACATAACGAAAAGCTAAAATGAAACCAATRCATATTTTACATAATAATAAAACAAAATATGGATCTTCATATTTTTCAATGGACAGGAGTGCGTCCGTCAATTGAAAAAGTGTTACGCTGGTGAAAGCGGAAGAAAATGGGTTGATAAACATACATGCAGGCTTGGATTTTGTCAATGCAGACGAAAGGTAAATTTATTGGTTAATAAAGTAGAACTTAATGATCAACATAGAAAATAGCCAATAACATAATAACTGATTCACTAAAGTTTGATAAGGAACAGTACGCGGAAAGCTTTGGTTTCAAGTAACATGTATTCACATATATATATTCCCATATTGAATCAAACTTTTATTTATAGGTATGTGAAAACTACTTTCGCGCCTGCAATTCTAACTCTTGGTGTTCATTGAAGAAGGTCTGCATGAAATCATTCAAAGCCTGCAAATATAATCCAAGGAAAGAGGTGAGGAATATTTTTTCCCTGATACATGTAGTGGGCTAGATGCATTATTCGATTGATTAAAGTATAAAGTACGTCTTGCTGTTTTTGTCTTCAATTCACGGATGCATCTTATACACTAGTGTATAAACATCTTAGTAATAGATTCCTTTCCAAATGATTTGCGAATTGAATTTCGCGAGGAAGTTTACCATTTAAKAGACATCCGACAATTTGATATTTTCATCGATACCATGATGCACTTCGCCTAATATCACATGACGCCAATAGGCTACGTGGATATTAATACAATTGTTTCCTCATCTTASAGTAAAAGTTTAGCTAGTTTTGYYCTGCGTAGTGGCCCTTAASGGATTGGGGAGGGCCGAGTGGAGAATGGGGAGGAGAAAAAGGAAGGGCCGGCAAGAGAACCCCACAGTTTTACAAAACGCCCCCTAATTAATAATTTAAAAGCCTGGAAAATCTAACTTGACAGTTGTCAAAATAAACCTATAACGAARCGCTGTCAGTATGTRGTCAAGAGTTTCATTTTACTGTATGCGCCGATCGCTGAAGATAACATCTGTTTTCCCTTGTGCTAGAAAGGCAAATATATTTTGTAAATTCTACGAAGTTCTGGCAAAAGTGCCACAGTTTCCCTATACTATTAAAGGTTCTTCTAAACGAAAATTCTTAACACYAACAGGAAATTAAAGAAACCGTTTTCTTTTAAATAACTTAAAAAAGCTCTAACTGATTACGAAATCCTTCTTCATCGCCCGCCATGTTGGTAAATATGCCAACTTGAWCTGGTATCACTTTRACATTTGATTGACAGCCTGTGCCTCTCAACCAATGGGGAATTCAAGTCCAAATTTCACTGCAGATTTTGTAAAACCGTTGGGTTCTCTTGCAGGACCTTCCTATTTTTCCTCCCCACCTCTGGCTTGGTCGGCCCTCCCCAATCCCCTTAGGGCCGCTACGCAGGCTAGCTATACAATCCCGGACAAAACTAGTTGAGACACTGGCATTTTTTCACTGCGAAATATCCCATTTCTCGTATCTCTAAAAAATCACTGATTTTGATCCTCCCCTCCCCCCATCAAGCAATGTTGTGTRTKTGACGTGATTCAAGAAGGGTGTGCATGGTTGTTCAGTCCTTTCAACATTGATTAGAGGGGGAAAGGGGGAGAATTGCACAGAAATAGGCAAATAGATCATCGAAACTCAACCTATTTTAAGAAACGTCTCAAGAGTTTTGTCCGGGATTGTAGTTTCGAATTTGACCACGTCCCTCATGTGCATCAAACCACTGTTAGTAGTGATATATGTATAGTTTACAACACGGACRCGATTGTTGTAAACAACATGAAACTCCAACACTAATTAACATGAATTACGGCGAGATAAATGACGAAAAATGACATTTAAGGTAACTACTGAGTTAAGTCGCTATAAAAGCATGCGCAATTTAAAGCAACACAGAACATTTTGAATAATTATGCATCCCACATGGAAAGCAAGCATTCTGTTGCATAAGCGAGTTTTGTTATCTGTCTTCTACTGGATCAAGATCTAGTGAAGGTCTATGATGCGATAYTAAAACCGAGACCTYTGCTTGTGTTGGGTAGTCTCAATGGTGACGACCGTGTTGTAAATCTGATACAACACACTAGTGTTGTATCAGATTTACAAGGTCAATCACCYGATTAAATGGACAGCACTTATTGGAGTAATAGCTCATGCATTATTAATAAGTTTTATAAAGAACTTAATAAACTATGCTGCGTGGGAGATAGGAACATACGTCAATATATTTAACAATTAGACCTCAAGGTCGAGTGGACTACGAGCTAATAGCCYATGGGGCCGAGTCCGCGAGGCTGAATGGGCTATTAGCTCGTAGTCCACGAGGCCGAGAGGTCTAATTGTTTTAGTATAAACATACTAATCGGTCAAATAATGAAACAAATTGAAATATCCTTAAAATAAWTTATAATTTATGATATATTTATTTTGATTTTCCCGCGAGTGGTCTATCACAAATTAGACCATTAGTAGAGTAGCCAATCACAGCGCAGTATGAGTGATAGACCATTAGTAGAGTAGCCAATCACAGCGCAGTATGAGTGATAAACCATTAGTATGTTTATACTAAATTTAAATATCTCAGCTGCAAACATGGAGCTTTGTCCAACAAGCAAACGATRGAAAATCAATAATTATATATTTTAATTATATTGTATTTCTTTACTCAGAGTAAATGCAGAAGAAAGCTAAGACGATGTCTTAAACGTTCTGGTGACAACAAGAAAGACACAAAAAAATGTCTTAAGTCATTCAGCAAATGCCTGCCTGGGAAGAAGCTCTTTTAAAAACTTGTGTTGAGCACAATATGAATGAGCTTTAGTTTCATTAGAATAGAAAGGGAATTGTATTAGATTAGATTTAAAGGTTAATAAAAATATAATGCACAGGGATCTTAATGTATATGATCAAAAATTGTCCTTTTTAGACCAATAATAAGTGGCAGTAATGGTAGAAGCTGAACTGGTATTTGCGTTCTTGTCTCGGTGTTTTCAAAGTGAATTATCAGCTCTGTATATTCTTAAGGTAATTTATTTGATAACTTCACTGATCGGTCAGTCCTAAATGAAAATACGTTCGCTGTCTTACATCTTTTCTCTTTGCTGTCCGGCTTTTCTTGATATGTATAGCGAGCTATGCGCTAAAGGATCACTCGCTCGCTCACTCACTCACTCACTCACACCAATTATGCGACTATCGGAATCATAAGGAATATGACAATTCAAGAGCCAACGACAACATATATTTCTAGATTTCATGATTTACTCCCCACGTTTTTTACAGTTTCAACTGTACTAATTTAATTAACCGTTTTATCCACTTATTTTCTGGTGCACTCGTTGTCTATGCGTAGTTCCTGAATGAAAAAAAATCAGTGCAAGAAGTCAGGGCTAAAAAAAGTCATAATAGAGAGTTTTAGATTCACGTTTAATGCAAACGCAAAACGTTAAAATGTCTTTTATGCTTTGTCTCAAAATTTCAAACAAACCTAAAAACGCTTGGAAAGGAATAGTGATGCGCTTATGCATGAAAATGTGATCTATTATTTTATTCAGTTTTGACGTTTGGCGTTCGCCGTAAATGCGTATCTAAAACTCTATAATGTCATCAAAMAGTGACTTGATTTCCCGAGCGATACCCACGCACCTCAGTTCTTTAAAAATAGAAACGAAAATCATGATGAATAAATGGAGAAACAATATCTTATTGTGGCTTATCCTGAAAAAACAATGAAGCGTTCAAATGAAGGAAGTTTAACTCCCCCATCTCTATCCTATTTTTTTTCTCTTGAATTAACATGCCAGCCCCTTTTTAACGTTCGGGTCCACCAATGAGCTATAGTATTGCCCGATAACAAAACGAACAAGGGACTGGGTCCGAACTTCAAAATCTAATTCAATAATGTTTCCAGGAASAATAATGTAATCACGTGAGAGAGCATCATACAAAAAGGCTTACTGATGTTTGATGTTTGATGTTTGAACTTTAGCAATAAAGTCAGTTACGGACATTCAAACCATGACAACGTTACAAAGAAACCTATGGTGTCCAGTCAAGCGTCCAGCTAAACATACATTCTTTGTAATTTCATAATTTTTTTGAAAAATTCCATTTCCATTTCTAATGACTTTTAAAAACTTGCTTAAACTTTAGCTAACTTATAAGTGCTTTATCTATTGACAACCGATTACCGTAGATTGTATCACTTTAAAAAAATAATCAGTCCCAGTACTCTGCTCGTTTTGTTATCRGCCAATTATTACTAAYCTTGACTCCTAAAGGTAACTGGTAGGGTCGATAATGTAACCATTTTTGTAGAGTTGGACATGGACATGATTTGTCATTGAACATCTATATTGCCTCGCCATGTTAACCATGGTACCGATACTGCTCCCTGCGGTAACCTGAGACCCTATCGAAGTCGATCTCCTGACATAGAACATCTTTACTGTATAGCVTGCGATGAAATTGTATATTTTAGATATTCATATTTAWAAAACGTTTCCTGGAAACAATTCAATCATGGGTGGCAYAGGTGGMATGGGTGGCCTAGTGGTTAAGCTACTGGCCTCTCACCGCTGTGGTCCGGGTTCGATTCCCGTTCAAGGACCATATGTGAGTTTGAGTTTGTCACTGTCAATGGATGACATGCGCAGTAACAGTCTTGCGGACTTTGAAAGTATTACATTCGAGGTAAATCAATGTTTTGACACACTTTGGAATATTCTAGATCTGTTTACGTTTACGAGTACTTTCTTGTCATGCGTCGCGTCAACTTGGAGTCGTAAACTTGAAAACATTAGCGTAGCTAATCTTTTCAAGTTTACTCGCGCATGCGTGCCATTGACAGTGTCCCTTTAAGTATAACATCATTATTAAATTCATTTTAAAGCTTTTGTAAGGTATTTTACCTTGCCATGTCCCAGTCCCCTKGAGCACCACGCCAATGTCGTGAGGTTTCCCATTGCCGTATGGCCGGGCATCACGAACGATTCTGGCTGGAAAGGGTGCATAAACGGTGTTTCCTGYATGACAGATAATGTCAACGCCCTTGTGTKTTCTCCCACCTCTGAAAATTGTCAAAAAATGTCAGTMACGGACTTAWTTTTKWWTTCTCTRTGAGGAAACTKCTATTTGTAGACAGRACGATTTCCATTTAAATTAGGAAAAAGTTAAAATGACCCAAAAATCAGTTTTCAATTAAATATTCACCAATCAACCTGTTCTAACCTCGGAGCTCCATACCGCCCACTTCCACAATTGTCTGTGCCTCTGATAGAGTTTGATGAGCAAATAGTGGAGAATCGTTTTGCTGTCATTAATGAATGTATGTATATTATATTAGAATAAACATGGTGTAAAAAACGCAAGTTAAGAAAATTATGTTTTTTACTAATAAGGCGAGATCGCGCTGACAACTTAAATATCGACTTAAATCGTGTGGTCACGTCGTTTTCAACCAATCACGAATCGAGGAAGAACACAATCCCCTGTAGTCTCTCGCGCAATGACGCCCGCTGAATGGCAAAAGTCTGGGTTCTGCTGGGTACGTAATTGCGATGCAAATGTCTCAGAAATACTATCAGCCTGGCAATACAGTCTAGATAGACATGGTGAACGATTGTAGTTGTTTGGAAAACCTCATTCTCTATTCAATTAGATCACTAAAAATGACTGTTTTTTTTACTACAACGGTGAACTGTTCGAATGCTTTCCCAAAGAAAAAACATAAGCAAAGCTTCGGAATGTTTGCATCACAACGACCAAATCTTGATGAGTAAAGATGTAAAATGAAACCTTTACATTTAATACATGATATTTCACTTAAACGTTGTCATCGAGGAAAAAAAAAGCATTCGTACTCAATTGAAATGGTATCCGGTCTTTTCGATCCAAAGAAGTTTCGATCCAAGTTGTTTCGATCCATTTTAAGKACGTTTCGATCCATTGTTAGGACGAATCGATCCACTTATATAACAACTCAAAATACATAAGTATTACTACAGATATGTTAAAAAAAGGTTTTAAACTGTAATCTATGACTTAGCATGCAATTTTAACGAGAGAAAGAGTCTTGTAAGCGGCGTTTTTCGATTGATACATGAGTTTTGTCATTGCAGTTATTTGATTTGTTATTGTTTGGTCGTCGAGGACGAGTTTGGTTTTAATATTAAGGACTTAAAAACATTTAAACTTAAAATACTATTGGTATTTTTAATGTTAAAACATTTATACAAACTTATATTTGATTTTTCTATACATTTTGAGCGCGAAAAACGACAAGTGTTGTTACTCGAATTGCCGTGTTGCTGCACGTGTTGCGAACTAAAGTTTCTAGGTTCCGTACGTTTAGGCTTTTAGGTACTGAAAAACATTTTCAAATGAAATACTTTTAATAGTTAACATTAATAATAGAGCATTTTATACAATTTGAGCGCAAAACAAGATAACTGTCGTACCATAGTTAACTATGGTTTAACTAACGGTCATATTTTAGCGAAACACGACAAGTGTTGTTACACGAGTTGCCTTTTAATATCTTCCATCCGATCAAATACCCGCGCAGTTAACACTCCTCGAAGGACAAGAAGACACACCAGCTCTCCGACAGCTAACCAGCTACATAAGAGAAACCTAGATCGAAAGCACCGTCAATRCATATACAATAATAWTATACAATAGCGGATGTATTCATGAATTCAYGATCAGTTTATTAAAACGGAACCAATCAAAGAAAAACTTCGAGCTAAAACTAACTTGTTATACGTACCGTAACGAACAGATCTTCTTCTTCCACTCCACCAACCATTAGCAAAATCTTGCATCAGTAGTACGCAACACAAGCACACAAGCGCGATCATCAGTGTATAGCGCATTTTTGGTTTTTGAACTAACTCAGTCAGGTTTTTATCAACCTTACTCAATGGTTATACTGTATAACTGAATGAATGTTATTGGTGAGCGCAGTGTTTTACACACTATTTTTGCTGTTTCTTGAATATTATCACTGATAGATAATGCCGTATAGTTTATGTTCACGTTAAAAAAACTCATACATTTTAATGAGCTACTAGGCCAATAGAATGAGCCTATTTGGTCACATGCATGGACCTTTATATCTGATAAAACWCTCCTTATTAGTATTCTTTATATAACGAATACTAATAAGGGTGACCTTTATCAGATATAAAGGTCCATGACCCTAGCAAAGGTCTCAGGTTTTAAAACTGATCAGGTTTTAAACCTGATCACTGACCAATGCAGGATGTCAACCGATTTCAGTGAGCAGCCAAGAGCCGTTCTATTTTACTTTATGCGTATTCAATGTGGGATGACAAGAGTGCTTTGTAAAGTGATTCGCGCATGATCAGTTTGCCCCATTTATCTCTGAACATATTTGTACGGCAATTTCTCCAAGAATTTTAACGGATTTGAGTTTCAAATTAGTGCTGGAGTTTTTTAAGCTTCGGCTCGAATCTTTATACCTGATAAAACACTCTCTCTC